TCCCCATCCTCGCGCACCCGAAATCTTCCTTCACCTTTTAAACGCCTTCGACGTAGGCTAAATAGAACGCTTTTTTAAAAAGAGTACTGCAAGAATTTTCGTCCCAACAGAAAAATAAACAAGGACTTGTACACTAACCTGGGCCTTTATGGTGGAGTTGTCATAGGGACCTTTGTACTTCATATACAAGCTGATGGCATCCTCCAGGTATTTTTTCGCTTTTTCACTATCATCATCATGGCTGCTCAAATAACTGGAGGCCAAAACAAATGATGAGTCGGCAACTTCTAATGAATCCTCTCCAAACCTGCCAAGAAATAGGATAAAAATGTAAACAAAACAATAACGTTTGCCATTGTACGTACCCACAATCCAACTCCGTGGTGACAGGATAACCGCAGTGCTGCCAACTCTACAGGGTAGTCCGGGAGACTCCAGATTATCTTCCGGTCTCCAGATTAGAGTCTGAAATCTCCTGGATAATCGCCATTTCTTGACTCACTTTCCGACAAGAAAATTTCAAATATTTTGCATTGTTTGAGCTAATTTACTGTTAACATCGACATTTCCTCATAAACTCCGGTATGCCATTGTAATATTAGCAATTATGTGATTGGTAGGTAGTTAACCAACCAGGTCAAATGTTACAAAGCCAACGACATTTTTTTTCGCGCGCTTTGTGCCATCGCAAATTCGCGACCATCGGAGTCAATGTCTTTTTTTTTTGCACAAATGACGTCATGTGCCGTGCGTTATCATGTCGTCTATCCTTCCTTCCGAATCAATTCTGAACATTTGAAGACGTAGAGGGTTGACAGCCATGTTACCGAATGGAGGAGTGAAGTGGAACTGGAAACATGTAAACGGAAAATGCTAGCTATTCAGAGTGGTTACATGCCGGGAATCATGATTATATGTGGAAAACCTACAATTTTCTCCTGAGCGCTGAATTGTTGGGAAAAAGTTTCTGGCGATCCACTCTAACAAACTTACATTCATAAGCTGGTGTTTTATCACAATCGAAAATGCTGAAATCAAAGCTGTGGCCTGGCCTATAGTGAAAAGAGCTGTGTCCTCATTCGGACGACTTCAGCAATTTTTTTTAAATTTTTTTTTTCTTCCTTTCAACACGATTTCTTGCTAAAATCGCGAAACTTAAGTCTAAAGAATTTTGCCAATTGTATAGGACTACATTTTCGCGAAATTAAGTTCTAGCAGGAGGCTATCATAGGCTCCTGGTGCTAGTAAAAGTAAGTATAACAAATAAAGTTAGACCTCTCTCTTCTTTGCTTGCAATAGGTAACTCTCTTTTTTGTCTGTTCAATAGAGCCAGTCGCACATAAAACTGTCTTTGTATAATTACAGAGGTAACTCTTATTAATTTAAGAGAAAAAACTGCCCATTTGTGCTAAAGTAAACTTAAACAGTGAAATAAAAAAACAGAATTGCACCGCAAATCACAAAGTCGCAGGATAATGGAATTTTCACAACAACGTGCATACGATTTGAAAGCCACTACCTTGATATACATATATCATGGGCTTTTAACAGATGTTTTGTGGCCCTTTCATGGCTGGATGAATCACCATGGCTACTTTCTGCTCGGGCTAAACACTGGTAAATGGGAATAAGCTCTTTACTGCCTTCACCGTACTGTGTCTGGGCAACGTCTAGTGCCTTAGGAAATAAACAGAAAGTTGGCAAAACCAATCGTTAATTATAATGATGATGATAGTGACGATAATGATGATCATGACGAGGAGGAGGAGGAGGAGGAGGACGACAGTGAAGGTGATGATGATACTGCAGGGGCGGATCCAGGATTTTTTTTAGGAGGGGGTGCACTCGTCTCTTGCTCTACTTCAACACCAATAAACCACATAGTTTTTTTTGTGCAGAATACCAGTTGTATTAGAAAACCGCAGGTAATCTCGAAGGGGAGGGGTGCGCACCCCCGGCACCCTCCCCCTAGATCCGCCCCTGTACTGATACTGATTATGATAACCTTCACCGTACTGTGTCCGGGCAATTTCGAGTGCCTTAAGAAATAAACACAAAGTTGGAAAAACCAATCAGAAATAATAATGATGATGATGAAGATAATAACAAAGGACCCATGATTATTTGGAATTTCTCAGGAAAAAAAAACCTGCCAACATTTTGAGGCATCAGTTTTTTCATCCTGAAAAGTATTCCGATCAATTCCGAAGAAGTTCCAAAGATTTCCGTGGGAGGGAAGTACTATCACTCAAAGGACTTTTCTTTTCTCGAGTTGGTTCTAGTCTAGTTTATTTACTTTATAAATTTCTCACGAATGTGTAAGTTCTGGCTGTAATGGCGTACATTTTTCCTCACGGTTTAAGAAATTGGTCCGTGGTGTGAGATCGAAGTTTTCGACTTTAAAATTACAGTAATATGAGTTTTTGTCTCAGTTGCCTCCGTGTGTCTCCTCCCTCGTGCGTGAAATTATTCACGCGCGATGACATAATTAGTTTGCTCTTCTATGCCAGAGCAATGGATTAGGTATTTTTTGCAATCTTGTTATAAGTCAAATTATGTGTTAACTTATCGACTTGATTTGCATCGATATTCTTCGTTTATAGGGCGTTTTTCTGTCTCGCAATCAATACTGGAGTCAATTTTGACGACGGGAATTTCCGGGATTTTTTCCCTTGGGAAGTGCTTGATGCGGATCATAGTAAAGAAGGGTAAAGTCGTAAAAAACAGATCTTACAATATCTAGAGTACACGGTCAGATAACAATCATACGATACTGTACCTTTTCAAAAGACTCCAAAGCATATCCCGTCTTGTGAGCCTTCAGACTGACCCGCCCAAGTGACATAAGTATTTGGAGTCTCCTCTGCGGATCACGGTATTCAAATCCAAGTTCTTCTCTTTCTCTTGATACTACTTCTGCTTTTTTTAAGGTGTGCTCTGCCTTCTGAGTGCTATATAAAACAAAAGGAAATTACATTGCTTCTACCAACGTTTTTAACATCTTTAGTTTGAACAAAAATTGTTTTGGGAACTGTTTCAGATAAAAAGCCTCTACCAAAAACCTTTAGTTTTGTATGAAGCAACAGTATCTATTTCAGTGTTGCATGCTTATTGAAACAGATGGTAATCAAACGTCCTACTGCAGTGCATGTAACCAAGTCAATTTTACTTGCGAAAACATTTCTGGATTCCACGGCATGATATTGATAATTCAGTTGCCTACCACTGGACCTTTCCGGGAAGTTCTCTGAGAGACACCTGAATGCAGTGGTACATCACAGCAGCAACAGTGGTGGTGCATGGTGGTGGCAGCAGTGTTTTGGAAGAGGGATTCAAATGTTTTTCAACAGCTTAAGTCCTTCAACCTCTATAAAACCTTGACCCTAATGCAACCTCACCCATCCAGTATGAGTAACTAAAACATGTACCTCTGAGCAAATCTTCCCCACAAGGAAGAATTTTTCATATCACTACACATCACACTTCCTTGTCATGTGAGTTTGGGTGGCCTGAACTCCATGGTTTATTGTTCAGGTCTGGAGTTAAATTTCAGAGGGTTTTCACAACTTACTTCTTCAAGGCAAGCTGAGCCTGGCCCATTGTGAGGTATATTAACTCCATGACAGGTAAAACATCTGATCTCTCGTAAACTTGTCTGCCTTGTTGCTTAGCTGCATCTGCTGCTAGTAACACATCACGTGCATTTCCAGCATGCAACAGGGCTTGTTGAGCCAATCCTATGAAAAAAAAAACAAGAGCCAAAATTGTGATAAGCTGAGTCTTGAATAAGTACTTCTATGAAGAACTCCTGCTAAAGATTCCTCCATAATCCAGACACCCCTTAATTATGGGCAGTTATCCTGCTTCCAAAAATGAGAATCAAAGCTGTTCCTAGAACAAATTGACACCTCTGATCTGTATAATGGACATTTGGATGTGTCCCTTTAGTGTCTGTATTAAGGAAATTTGACTATATGAATATCATGAATATGCCAAAAACTTTCATGTCTTTCCACCACTTACACACAACCACCTCTTGACATGAGCTTCCCCCTTGAAAAAAATGCTGGAACCTAAACAACTAAGATCAGCTTCAGGTGATAGTTTAAACATTTTCACTAGAATTGGTCCCCAATGATCAACCTTTTGACAGGTGGTTGCATCTGCTTCTGGTGCAAATTTTGCAAATTTAAAGGTCAAAGGTGAAAGGATTTTTTCTGGTAAAAAGTGCACTTCGCCCTACTATCCAGCTAGTTTACAAGCACTCCACTCAAATAATTTGAAACAAATAATTCAAACATAATATAAATGTTCAGAATTAAAAAACCCAACTGGCAACCAGTTGGCTATTTAAAAGGGTTGTCAAGGGCTTTAACTTGGGACAACAGAGAACAAATCCAGCAAGTGGCTAGAGAGGGTCTCGAAACCAGGAGAACTGGATTTTGAATCCAATGTACTGACCACTTGGTCACGCTGTCTCCTCCAAATTTGACTGTAGGGTATTGAAAGTTTAATCAGTGACAGGATTAAAAAGTCTTTCTCTGTCTATTTTGATGGCTTGTCCCATAACCTATTACAGTTGACTCCTGATAACTCGAACCCTCACTTACTCGAACTACATGAATAGTTAATTTCCCCTGGATTTCCTTCACTGTAATTTTACCCTTGATAACTCAAACTATGTTTTCAGTGTGTGACAAGTTGTAAAAAAAAACAGTGTACTGAAGTCAAAACATTGGATATATTTCAAAAACAACTGTGCCAAATATTCGTTTTTACTTTTTTGTCACTCTAGTTCAAATTCAGTGTCCATCCAGGGCTGTAAGCTTTGTTGCTTAATTCCTTTGTTAAAATGTCAATCTTTATCCCAGCTTACTGCCCTTGAAGTGAAGTGTGCACGATACTTGCATTCCCTCGCCATCCATTTGCTTATTTCCTTTTTCCAGTTATTTGCTTCAAACTTCAGATAACTCAAACTTTTTTCCATTCCCCTAGATGGTTCAAGTTATCGGGAGTCGGCTGAAGTTTAATTACAAACTACTTACATATGTATTGTACTAAATATACCTAGCTACCTCTTATTTCAAGATATGCCTGTGACAACTTGGAATAAGCTTTTGCCAGCTTCCAGTGATTGTCTCCATAAATAATTCTAGTTAAGGCCACACAGCGCACACGATCATACACAGCTCTCTCATCTCCCATGTTTGCAAATTCACGTGCTTGCCTTCTGTAGTTCTTCAGTAGCACTTCAGGTGGGGCCAAACCTGATCAAAACAAAGTAACATCATTGAAAAGTACTAAGAATAGAACAGAATGGAGGGTACAGTTGGTTGGACAAACAGCTATGCTAGTACTTACCTCTGGATTCTACAAAAAATATAGGTGCAAAATATAATACATACCGTATTTACCCGCATATAGGCCGCACCCCAAACTTTCAATAGTTTTCATGGAAAAAAAAAATAGTGAGGTCAAGTACCAGGATAAATAAACCAGAGTTTGAAATCAACAACAAATTCATTTTTGACAATAATTACTACATGAACGTGAAAATATTCAAACTATAAACTGAAACGCCTTTTCACTAACATTTTATGTACAGAATACTTAAAGACAAAATCAAGATTCTTAGAAGATATGGACTTAGTGTTTAGTTGTATGTGTTGTAAGTTAGTAACAATTGAAAGCGAACATTAAAACGCCAATTTAGTGTACGACCGTGAGATCTCTTGCATATTAATGAGGTGTCAAAATGCTTGTACCCGCGTATAGGCCGCAACACTAATTTCAGTCCCATTTTTTCAGGAGAAAAAAGTGTGGCCTATCCATGGGTAAATATGGTAATTAAGTTGAGTTTATCACTGGTTCTTGGCAACAGTAACCTGAGAACCTTTTTCTGTGAACCACCACTTTTTTTACCCCCACAAAAACAACAAACAATTGATGAGCATCCCCCAAAACTGCAGTCATGTGATTGTACTGGTCACAGATAGGTTTATTCAGCTTGAAACAAAAAACCTGCGAGTAAATAAAGCACATGCATATGTTGTGGTTTAATTTTATCCTTGTTTAAATTTTCTTTCCCTTTGTTTTAGGGTACGGACGAGTTTGAAACAAAGGATTAAGGGCTTATATAAGGGGTATCATCCCTTTTTATAGCAAACTTACCATTGATGTATCCTGCAGCCCTGCTGTCATCTTCAACTGTAATTTCGTTGTCTGATTCCTCAGAAGAGGAATATCTACGCTGCACTGTTATTCCTATGGGTCTGGAGTTGTTATCTGAAGCTGACGGTATGTGGATGACTTGTTGAATAGCATTTCCATGCCTGCCTACAAAAACCATTTTCATGAGAAATTTAGGTGAAACTACAAATTAGGTGTTGCTTAGTGCTTATGATATGGCCTTCTACCATAAATAACATTCCTTCCACCCTCATTTGCACTAAAGAAATGTTACTCTGGTGAGCATTCCATTAACAATCCGAAAGCTCCCTCCCCCCTCCCCTCATGCTGCCTGTCCCAGATCATGCAGACAGTTATGGATGGAAACGAGGCTGGAGTTGACCTTGTTTTGATACAACTCTCCGTGTTGTTCTAAAGCTAACTTGTATTTTTTTAGCATAATTTACGTAAGAAAAGCAAGAGGTTTGACTCAAAGCAAGCGCAACCGGCTCAGCCTCATGTTCACTCAAAGGGCAGCATACTAAAATCGTCTATTCAAGCGGTTGACAAACAGGACATCGCACAAGCGTGCAGTGATACAGTAGTTGTAATAATAACTTTAACCAGCCTTGAAAATACATACCTGGTTGAGTGATATCTTCAGTATCACTTGCAGTGTCTGTTTTGCTGAGGCTCGCGTCGCTTTCCACCGACGGTACGTCCAGTTCCATCAGGCTTCTCTGTCATGCAAGCATTCTAAGTGCATTAGTTTATTCACAAGGTAGAAACCAGAGTAAGACAAAGCCCGGTTTCCCGCCAGATTCCAGCAAAAAGTCAATTGACCGAATTTTCAGTCCAAGTTCAGGCATCATCGGCGCCATATTGTTTTTTCAACGCGCAGAGCTTGCCGGGAATACTGTTCTGTGTCGTCATAGTAACCGAAGACCCTCCATCTTGACTTTATGCAATCCTTCCGGCCGTGTAGACGATACATCAGCATTTTATTTTGAAACGGAGAGTAATGCCTCAACAAGACGAACCCATTTATTGTTCACAGCAAATCAACATTCCTCCTGAATTGCCAGACATCCTGAAACAGTTCACCAAGGCCGCCATTCGTACCCAACCAAAGGATGTATTGCAGTGGGCCTACGCGTAAGTTAAGATATTTAAAACGTCTAGAAAAAAAAACACACATAACGACTGACATCTATTTTCTCGTAGGAGAATTGGAAAATTAAAGTTCTAGTAGACAGTTCTAGCCTTTTAAAAGTACAGTTTACTGTGCACCAGCCAGTTAAAGTTATCGACATGACTCGATCATGACAACTGCACTGTGGACCAAAACTTGGTAGCTCATTACTGCTTCCTTTAAAAGTCGATTTACAAGTTTGAAAGTAGCATATATATTTATTTAAGATACTAAATTTGTGTGGTTTTTCATGTTTCATGAACCTTAATGTTGAGTAGGTGGCAAATTAAATAATCTTCTGAAAGTGACAAAATATTATTTTGCTGTCTGCCAACTCATTTTGACTATGCTGCCTCTCTGTCCTGCGTTGGTACTGTAAGCTACTGTAAGCCCTGGTTTAGTGCCAGGGCCCTAAAATAATCGACTAGAACATGCTACCCTTTTTCGCTCCTGCATATGGTTAGAGACATGAAGGGAGCTTTTGACCATATACATGCACATTTTATTTTGATTGGTTACATATTGCATTTTATGTCCGTACTCACCCCCCCTGGTTGAGGACTTATAAAATGACCTTTTCTTCTTACCCCTGAAGATTGGCTAAAAATTCATTCACCCCTGAAGACTTCCATAAAATATGGGTTTACCCCTGAAGAATTGGGTCATACCCCTGAAGAATTTCCAGGAGCCCATTACAGTCAACTCTCTCATGGTGACCACACTTCTCAAACACAACCACCTCCCATAAGCGACCACTCTGTCAATAACCAATTTGTTTTCAGTCAAATACTGTTTCAAAAGCTCTCTTGTAACTAAGGGACCAGGAGGAGGAGCTGTGGCCAGAAATTTGACATATTCTTTTGTTTTCTTTTCCCATAAGTGACCACTCAGCATGAACACATATGTTTATAAAAAAGACTTTGCTTGAAGGCTGCAAAATTTAAGTTTTTGATAGTGCTGACCCTTCTTGCTGACAGATTATAGCAGTTAACTGAAGATGGCTGTAATATGATCTGTTGGTAAATTAAGTGGATTGTTAAATCGATGCAAAGTGTTATGCACAAAGTTTCAACAGTTCGATGCACTATTTTATGTGTGACATTATTGCCAGTTGTCTATTTGCCTAATTTTGCAAGGTAATAACTTTATGTAATTACCTTAATCAGTTTAGTTTGAGCTTATTTTCCTGATTATTCCCGTAGACAACCACCTCCGTAAGTGACTACTTAATCGTTCACCAAGGGTGGTCACTTATAAGAGAGTTGACTGTATTACAGAAACGAAATATAAAATGTATTATTAAGGAAGCTGGAAGGAGAAAGTTAAATGTCTGCAAATGAAATCACTGTTTTTGCAATTCCACCAACCCATATCAATCTATGTAACATCTAGTCAGGGATTCTGATATGTTGCAGAAAAAAAGTCAAATTTTGCGGGATTTTTAGAGACAGATTTGCCGAAAAATCATCTGTTTTCGCAGGAATTTTGCGGAAATTTTTGGGCTAACTTCTGGGCGTATTTCGCCAGAAATTGACCAATTTTGCACTAATTTCATGAGCTTGTTTCATGTTTTTTAACAGAGATAATCATTTGCTATTTTAACGACAAAGCATTTGATAAATGAGCCCATGGCAAAGCTTTTAATATCATGAGTAGTGCCCAGTTTTTCACAACATAATTTACACCTGGTAGTTTTGGGACATTGTTTGATTGTTGTGGTGATGAAGTTTCAAGATAAATTTGCAAGTTTACAGCAACTAAACAGTCCCAATAGCCGAAATGAGTTTTAAATATGTTGTATTGACATGTATTAGTCAAAATAAGATTTCTAGCGAATTTCACGGTATGTAGCGTGTTTTTTGTGAATTTTGTGGGATGTCACTGATTTACCTGAATTTCATGACTCCGGAACCATGCGAAATATCAGAAGCCCTGCCTAGTTGTCACAAAAAGTAAAAATGTCCAATCAACCCAAGAATATTATTGTGAACAGATCACCTCTTGCTGAAATTTGAAAATAAATTTTATTCAGGTGGAGGCTTTACTCTGTAAACATGCATCTTGTAACTAGAGTCCCCTTCAGTAGCGCAGTAGATAAAGTGCCCAACCAGTGTCCAGCAGATTAGAGGTTTGAATTTTGTTGGGGACTAATTATTATTTCCCTGTCTTTTTTTATTCACATGGTATTCAATGCTTTACAATTTTGTAGGTACTTTGATGCACTTTCCAAAGGTGAGACACCCCCAGTGAAGGATCGTCTTGAGTTTCAGTTAGGACAGCCCTTGGAAAAACCATTAACGCAAGGGCTACTGGCAGTTTTACACAAACAGGTACTTTCTCTCCCTTTCCAACGTTTTCATTTAATTTACATCAACAGTGTCTTGACGGCAGTGACAAACAAAATCTTAGTCAGTCTTAAGGTGTGACAAGCATCCTGTGCTATTTTGAGGCCACCACAGGAAAGTGTTTGTCCTGGCTGACTCTCTTTCTTGCCCAATTACTTATCAAGTGATTAATATATTATAATATTTTTTCAAGACACGGGTGATAACGAAATTGTAAAATCCAAGATTCACAGAAAATCTACAAAACACTTGTTTGAAAATCTTAGGCAGCTGTGTGGTGTAAAAAAGAAACCTCAAGACAGAAAAACCATGTAAAAGGAAGAGTTGATGAATCGTCAGAGGTGCCTTTGAGATTTCATGATTTGCCTGCAAATGGCAGACATTTCTCCTCACTCATCACCGCTGAGAGACATTTCGTGAGGAGGAACGTCTGCGACTCAGCGACAAAAATTCCATACTGATGACGCAAAATCTGTCTGGAATCCGGTCAGAAGCGCTAATTGGTTGACGGAGTAGTTTCATTGTTTTAGCTATTGTTTACGAATGACAGACAAAAGACAAATGGCCGCAAAGGTCAAATGGAATCTCTAACAAAACAGTCAATATTTGAAGAATATAGTCTTCTCCAGAAGAGGCATTTGCGGCATTTTCTGGAGCTCATTGTCAGATGAACACAACACTTTACCAAAATCGACCAGGAGAAACAAAGAATTGAACAAATTTGCATTTGGAACCCCATCACTACCGAATTTATTATGTAAACATTGATTTACGTCATCAGTATGGAATTTCTGTTGCTGAGTCACAGACGTTCCTCCTCGTGAACCGTCCCTCAGCAGCGATGAGCGAGGAGAAATGTCTGCCGTTTGCGGTGTATTTCATGATCAGATCAAAATTTTCTATGATTCGTAGTTTCGATGTTTCAAAGGTATTTGCCATTTGCTATTACTTAATTAAAATAAAATTGCATTACAAGTAATCTTGTGCCTTTTTTACTTTATTTTGATCAATACAAAGAATGTTTTAATTTTTTTAGCTGGGTGGAAAGCCCATAATAGAGCTATCATCCTTGGAGGAGAAATGGAAACACTTGTCACTTCCTAAAGACACTCTGGATGAGCTTCTGAGGTAAAACCCTAAACATTTTNGGCATTTTCTGGAGCTCATTGTCAGATGAACACAACACTTTACCAAAATCGACCAGGAGAAACAAAGAATTGAACAAATTTGCATTTGGAACCCCATCACTACCGAATTTATTATGTAAACATTGATTTACGTCATCAGTATGGAATTTCTGTTGCTGAGTCACAGACGTTCCTCCTCGTGAACCGTCCCTCAGCAGCGATGAGCGAGGAGAAATGTCTGCCGTTTGCGGTGTATTTCATGATCAGATCAAAATTTTCTATGATTCGTAGTTTCGATGTTTCAAAGGTATTTGCCATTTGCTATTACTTAATTAAAATAAAATTGCATTACAAGTAATCTTGTGCCTTTTTTACTTTATTTTGATCAATACAAAGAATGTTTTAATTTTTTTAGCTGGGTGGAAAGCCCATAATAGAGCTATCATCCTTGGAGGAGAAATGGAAACACTTGTCACTTCCTAAAGACACTCTGGATGAGCTTCTGAGGTAAAACCCTAAACATTTTATTCTATTTTTCAAATTTTAGATTTTAGGTGGATTGTACTTAATAGGGTGCATTAATTTGACTGATCATATATTCCCAGAAATAAAAATAATATGCAAAAGTTTTGTTACAAATCTACCTTATGGTGATTTTTGAATTACGTAAACCCTCCATATATACGCTTGCGGTGTTATTTCAAGTAGATTTCTGGATATTTTAATGCACTGACTTCAAAAACAAATGATTTCTAGAGTTTTTGCATTTATTGTTTTCTGGAATACGGTCAATTGAAGTTTCATCCTAGCCCTTATAATATAAGTTTGTTGACTTTATTCCTGACTGTGTATGTTCTAGTCAAAGGGTCTTCTTCTTCTTTGATTTTCTTACAAACTGCTCTTAACTGGTGTCAATGCTGATGTACATGTAATACTTTAAATGTTTTTCAGAATGGGAAGTTTCGCTGAGGAACTGAGGTGGCTTCATTTTTTTGCCCTTGCATGTAGTGCTATCAGTGAGGTATGTGTTGTTGTGGTTCATTTTAGTTAGTTTTTGTAGAACGCGCGATGGGGGCACAAGCGTCCGCGTAATTTCTCCCTTCGCCCTGAAAAAACCCGTGCCTGCTACACAGGCTAAATCTCCCACTGACTCATTTTCTAGTAATTTGTTATTAGCCTATGTATTAATCATCATGACAAATTATCTTGTTAGCTTATATTGGAACTTAAGAACTGAAATCTTTCAGTGGACGTAGTATTCTTGACATAAAAGAACTAAATGAATCCTCTCTCTTGTAGAATCTGACGTTGGCAATGAAGACAGTTTGTGAGATTTTAACAACAGATCTGGAAGGTGGAGCTGCAAGGATTCCTTTCTCGCTTTTCAAGGAACTGTTTACTTACTTAGCTGAGATCGACGGAGAAATACCCAAAGAACATGTGGACACAGTTATCGAACATCTGAGTTATGATGTGTGAGTTATTTCTAAACACACTTGACTTCACTTCTTAGCCTGTATTGCGAGCATCCCTGCCCAAGCTAAGAGCAAAAGTTACTTTTTAGATATACGTCTGAAAAGTTACAGGTTACCTAATTTTAATATGTTCTCTCAGTTCCTGCTAACAAAATTCAGGGGCACCCAACGGCAATTTTCGGGAAAATATCTGTTCGGAAGACGATTTGAGATCTAGAATTTTCGGAGCATTTGTTGTAAAATTTCTTGCTTGCCTGCCTCTAAGGAAATCCGAACAGATGAAAAGTTTTTAGGAGATAAAAATATGCCTATATCTACCGTTTGAATACTAAAATACGTTCAACAATGCTATGTTAAGTGGTTTTGAACTATATCCTCGTTGGGTGCCCCTAAAAATTTTTCAAAAGCGAACTATTTTCGCGTTTTTAATACCGAAAGTTGATCAACTAATGTAAAAGGCCTATTGTATTTTATAAATACAGATCTTCAACACACTAAATTATCTTTTTTTCAAGATCTCAGCCTCGGGTTTATTCTTATAATATTCTTAAAGTTTCGCAAATTAATAACCCGTGCGCACGGTTTGATAGAGCTCCGCCATGCTGTCGCGGTAGTCTGCGAACAGGATTACTTGTTTGAGTTGTGCGGAACTGCCAAAATTTTCCCCGAACTCAAGCAAATGAGCCTGGCCGCAGGCTTCTGTTGCGGTTTGCCCCGAACTATCAGGAACGAGCTGGTAACAAAGACAACCCTCTGGTACCAAGGGTACAGTCTACTAAAACACCCTATAGCCTTCCCACATCTCATAAGATGACGACTATACGGTAGTTCTCTGTTGTTCCCATACTGGTGATCGAAACGGAGGAAACGTTTCTTTTCAGTGACTTTACGAAACTCTAAAAACTTGTAGTCCGAACAACGCACAAGACGTAAAGTTGCAAAGCCTTTTAAAAAAGCTGTTGTGGCTGATATGAAACGCCACGCTTTCTATGTTGTATTTCACTTGGGAAAAAAATGGAAAATTCTTAATAATATGCTTTTTTTTTTCAGGGAAAAGCAAGATGGACAAGTATCCCCTCGCAACTTTATGAGTGACAGCTGCCCTCCTCTATCCCCTAACGAAAACTCAGCGTAGAATTTTATAACAAACTGTCTTCTTTTTCCCCTACCGATCAACTGGCTAGTTCATTTATTCTGTACAGTGTTTTACAGCCCAACTGTCATTTTTAACTTGATCCACGAACTCTGTGATGGCTTTTCCTGTCCAGTACAGAAATTGCGGCTTCTGTTTTAGCGTTAAAAGGTTTAAACACGCAAAGAACATGTCGCCAACATACGTTTTAGAAATCCTCCGTGCTACGTGTATGTATTAAAGAATATTCTTCGGTGAAGCTACAGTGTAGCTCACTACATTGCGTAATGGTATACTACATTTTTCCGGAGCTTAGCCGAAATTTTACGAAGTTAGCGGTGATTCCGATGACTTAAAAGCCTCAAAAACACTAACGGCGATGGTTAATGCGTGCAACATACCAGACCGGCAACTATTCCATTGTACATATACTGATGTAATAAAGATACCTAGCAATTTATTTGATATTGTTCTATTGCCGTATTGAGTTAGAGGAAAAGAAAAATGGTATGGAGGTTTACATAAAACAAGTTGGATGAAATATTTAACCTCAGTTTTTTTATAAAGTTATGGTTTAATAACGCAAGTGCCACCTTTAATCCTCCCTTGTCTGGTTAGAAATTCTTGGAAAGCAGGTTTTGGGGTCGGAAGTTTCTCAAATGTTTCAATTTTTTGTTGACATTGAACTACGTTCCTCTTATGATTTAATTTATTTTCGCTATGTAATAACAAGCTGTAAACTAGGAATTAACGCTCGTTTCGGCAATCCGTATTGAACTTGTACAATTCAACCTTGTGCATTGAAAAGTCAGTTTATGCGAATGCAATAGCTTGCGATCAGTTGTAGTCTTCTCCATTTTTCCCTTCTTGATCCTTGCCTCGTTGCAAGGCTGTTTTTGTCTGAGAGACAACTGACATTTCGCGACGTCACAGTGGTTTCTCCGCTGGTAGGGTCGCAAGTCTATTTATTTCTCAGGCTAGGCTGTTTAACTTTTGTATTTTGTTTTGTAATGCTTGTTGGCTTGTTTGTTGCTATTGTTCTTTTTTTTTTCGGGAAGGGGGAGATTTCCTAGCAAATGCTGGGTGAAATGGTGTAAAGAATCACTGAAGCTGTCTAGAAAAACTAGACACTGATGCATCTTTTAAACGCTACATGTTCGACTGCGCAGAGACACCTTACACAATTAGCCTGAATTTCATCCGATTACATGCGATTACTTCGAGTCGTTATTACTCCAAGTAATCGGATGAAATTCAGGCTACTTACACGATGTGGAAACGGGATAAATTTGACCCGCCAAAGCATTTCTTGGTGTAGTTGGATGCCCAAACATTGTCTACGTGCCTCGTTGACTTTAACGGTAGGTTCTCACACGGCCAGAAAGCAGGAAAGTGAGTCACAGTGAGCTCTCAAGCTGCTATCCTAGTAGCTGGAAACAGCCTTTTCATTAAATTGGCCCAGTAATTAAAAAAGTCATTTTATAAACCGTCTCAGTTTTCGGATAAAATGCATTTTTTTTGGTAACTTCGATGGCTCCTCCAACGTAAAGCGACTGGGGTACTCTTCGAACCTTGGGGGAATTCGAAACAATTTGTGGATAGATACCGCTTAGGATTCTTAAATCTAAAATGACCACTATAACACCTGTCGCGTTAACTTCCAGAGTCTTTTAATGGTGTCGAGCACAAAAATGCAGGATGGGAACTATTTCACTCAAAGCCACGCCCATAAACCAAGATGGTAACTTTCGGACCTTTCGGCAAGCGCACGGTTTTCTTGGATTTTTTGCTGGCGAATACAACCGTCATTTTTTATAGTACACTCCCTGAACCCGAGTGTGATACCGGCAAGGCGAGAGATCAGAATTTTTTCTTTAATGAATGAATTTTTCAATGCTGGGCCATCTTTTAATACGGAGAGTACACCTTGCTGACCAGTTAGTCGTCCAGTTGGAGTGGCGCTCGCAGGTTACGCTTTTTACGCTTCAACTTCGTCCGGGAAGGAGGTTAGCCAAGGTTCCTCTAAAGGACCCTCTGCCTGCGTGGCAGAGAATATTTGAGCGCCAAAAAAGTCAAAACGGCAGACAACCAATCAGCAAATGACAAATACTCGTAAAGACCGCTGAATTACCCAGAGAACCTTGCGTGGCAAATTTCTAAGCCAATCTTCAAAATGGCTTCCGTAGAATTGTTGCACATTATAACAACTTTAATGTGTTTAGTTCCCTTTTCTTTGTCCACAGAAGCCGGTGAACGTCATGTTAAATTTCAATATAAACATAGTTTTAAAGGACCGCATCTAGTTAATAAAGAAGGAAACATTCCTTTTTGGACTCATGGTGGAAGTAAGTGGTCTTTTTTTGTTGGTAATTTTTTTGTCTACACGTGTACAGCTGTACATGGTCGCCTTGGCTTTTTTCATGTGATCTTACTTTAAACTCCTTTTAGGTGCCATACCTAGTGATGATCAAATTAGACTGACTCCTTCAATGACGAATAAAAAAGGTTAGTTTGAAAGAACAATTTATATTTTATGAACAATCTATCGAAATTTAAAACTTATCGACTACTATAATTACATTGTTGTTCAAAAATTGAAGCTTGAATTACTACATACAAAATTTGTCACATATGCTATTACCACAGCTACTTTCGAGTTTATTTCTGTAGGGTTAGCGTACCGTGTCCGGTTTGATTTCATGTTTTTATTATGTTTATTGTGCCATTAAAACATTTCTATTGGTATAAACAAAGGTAGACCATGGCTTCCTCTCATTGTTAAGCGAAAGTAAAATATATTAAATATTTTTTTTGTCTAGGACAAATGTTAAAGGTAGCAGCTTAAACAAAATTTTGCATTTAAGGAATAGTGAAATCAAAATACTTTGAGGTTTCATTTTTGTGGCTCTTTTTTTATCCTTTTATTCAATTTTTTCCCTTTGCTATAAAATCACTATCATATTTCAATATAGCTGAATTTCAGTGGTCTCCTCGAGTCTGAAATTCAGGCTAATTTCGTTAAACTAAAACGCAAGGGAAAGAATATAGAGCTGAATGAGCCACAATATAATACACTGAACTGCATGAGTGACCATAAACAGATCAGAGTGCAAAGAAAGTACTGTCCGATAGCCTGGGGCTAGAGGGATTTGCTATCGGGCTAGTGACTTTTGTTCTTAGCTTGCCCGATGGGCAATTGAAGTTTTTTGAGAATTCAAATTACAGAAGGACTGTGTATTCAAACCTGCTCATCAAAAAGCTTTTACGGCTAGTTTTATGGTGATGTTTGGGCTAGTACATGCTACAACCCTGGTCAAAACTCTTGGGACACTAACGCAATAGCTTGTCAAATTTAGGCATCTCCCCTCCCACCTTCCCCCTCGGTGCAGTGTTGATGTTATGTATTCAAGTTTTAATTCAACACAATCAACACTGCTTGGGGGAGAGGGGGACAGCAGAAATAGCCCCTTATTGCAACATCATCCCCAAGCTTTCTTAAGAGGTAGAATATAGGTTAATTTAGCAAAGTGCGTCTTTGTGCCTAATTTCCTTAAGTGTCCCAAGATGTTTTGACCAGGGTTGTAGCTACAGCTAGCCCAAATAGCAAGCTGCAAAATGGCCTTTCTTTGCACCCTGGAGGTAGTCTGTATTAATGTAGGTCACTAATATTATCACTATTCCCAGGCTTGAAAATTGTCTGTATGATGGGATTCCACTCTAGCTCAACTGCCATTTGACAATTTAGATATCAAATATGATATTAGAAATGAATAATTATTGTGAAACATCCAATTATTGGAGGGTGTACATGTCCAGTACCTTATATACTGCCATCCTACCTATGATAAAGCTGCTGGCACCACCAGGCATGACACTGTTCTGATAAAAGATCAGATGTCACTGAAACATTTGCTATTCCATTTATTGCTACCTGCATGTTTGAAAATTTGACTTGAGTTCAAATTCACAGGAATACTAATGATATAAAACCTGTGGTGGTTTTTGTTGCCTGCATGCATGTTTTCTTAGGTGGGTTAGTAATAAATTTGATCACCCCCTTGTTAGCTCAGTTAGGAGAGCGCCAGTCTGCTGAGCGGGAGGTCATGGGTTCAAACCCCGGCCGGACCAACACTCAGGGTCTTTAAATAACTGAGAAGAAAGTGCTACCTTTGTAATGACATCTGCAAATGGTTAGACGTTCTATTCTTCTCGTATAGGGACGAAAAACTGTAGGTCCTGTCTCATAGAATTTTTACTTACCTGGTTCTTGTGGACGTAAAAGAAGTTACCCACACAACTGTTTGAAAAGAGTAGGGGATTTAGACCCTGGTGGTGTGGCCAACCTTTCCTGGGGTGGGTGGGTTTATCTGTTAGGAGAGATCTGAATATAGAGATAACGTCATGATCCTCCTTCAAGTGTCGTAATGGCTACCTGTAAACAGTGTATGTACGAAAATTTATCTCGGGTGGATATAAGAACATACGACACTATCACACACTGTCAGTTATTTTCATATGATATGTGAATATTTGTGACAATTAAGGGGACCTATTATCTATTTACCCAACATTTATTTTGAACCTTTTTTCCATCTTGGCTAGGTTATGTTTGGACAAAAAATAGCTTTCCTCATGAATGGTGGGAGATAGAAGTTGCTATCAAAGTTACTGGCATAGGAAGACTAGGTGGAGATGGAGTGGTAAGAAAATCACTGCACATACGTAGTATGTTTTGATGATTTTGATTGCAGCATTTTGACTATTTACTGCTGATCTTCTTCTGCTGATGGCATAGAGAAGCTTTAGCCCTTTAAGCCCTAAGAGTGATCAGCATCTAATTTCTCCTTGTAATATCAATGCTTTGTAAAACAGAGTGGTCATGAGAATTACATACATGATCACTCAAGATGAATTTGCTTGATATTTTATTAACTTCTCCCCACTACTTCTGTAGGAAATGAATAGGGGCAACAAATGAGAATTCATATTTTGATCTTAGGGTTCAAAGGGTTAAGAAATACTATAACATAGGGGTGTCCCTGAGGGCTGTGGATTAGGGATTTTTCCCGGCTACTATAAGCTTGTCTCCTGGCTGCTTTGTAAGAAACAAGGCGAAAATTGAACTACAAGGACTTTCTAACTGTTCAATGCCCTGTCTGCTAATTGCATATGTACCCAGGAACTTGAAATCTTACTGTTAGCCCTGGTAGCACCATGGTCATTTGTGATCAGACCACTTGGGTAACAAATTTAAGTTTGTACAATGTGGACAAAGTCTTCCAAGTCATTGCTATCGGTAGCAACAGCCAAAAGGCACTAATAACCGACAGCAATGTCTAGGTGCTACTTGTAATGCCACATCCCACATTCTTGTGAACAAAGGCACAGACTCAGGGCTTGAGTTGACAAAAGACAGCTGTGATTTGTATGAAAAAAATGAGCTTTAGAAGCCTGTTCCATTCACTCCTGCTGAAACCCCTCTCCTTCTCTCCTCCTTAATATAAGCGCTATGGACCTTTCACTTGTCCCTTTTCATTGAAACATATTTAAAATTATTTTAAGTATTTCATGTGAAACAATTTTAGTAGTACTGTCAACTCTGTCTCAAAGGACACCCTTAAGATCGAGATGAACACCTCAAACAGACAGATTTAAGTGGTCCCTGCTGTTTTTTGATTATATTGTTTGACTCTCCGTAGGGTGGGACACCACTTTGAGACAAACAGTTATGGCCTTTTCCAATGGTGTCTGTCTCAAATCTCAATGAAGTTTTATCCTTTAAATTAATGCATTCATTGGATGTTGTTTATTTGCTTTCTTTCTTTTTTTTTCAGGCCATGTGGTACACAGAAACAGCTGGTATTGAAGGCCCTGCATTTGGAAATGTAAACACTTGGAAGGGTCTTGGTATTTTTTGCGACTCATTTGATAATGATCAACAGGTATGGTGATGGAAGTAACTGGCAAATTTTGCTGGCAGCCAGCTCTTTTATATTAAACTATCCCTGATTTGTGGATTAATAATAGATAGATATTAAGTTTGTCTTTTTTTTGCATTTTTGTTGTGTTGTTGATATTGTAACAATAAAAATAATATTATTATTTTCCAGGGAAACAACCCTTTCATATCTGTAATGATGAATGATGGAACTAAAATCTATGACCACAATAAGTATGTTCAAAGTAATAAGTTGTTATTAACTTTTTTCTCATTGCTCTTAGTTGCTGTCAACAATTTTATTACTAATTGTGCTTAAACTGAAAAGTCACCAAGAAAACTAAATTTCTTTTCGCAAAATCATAAGAAATAAATGGTGCAATGCTTAAGGTATGCTAAAGAGGTTTCATTTGACTGGTAATGCCGAATGATTTTGTCTAGAGCATAAAAGTCTTACCAGTCTACTTGTATGAGTGGTACGGTTTAATTACTGAGCAGACCTCACATTCCTGCTCCCATATATTCTCTGTTTCCGACAGTACAAAGTCCTGTGAAATAAAAATAGACGAGAAAATGCCTGTCCAGCAGGTCCTTGCAACGCTTCAAGGGGGAAAGAACTAACAGAAGTAAATGGAGGAGAATGGCACAAAAAAACGAAAAGAAAAGTTTTGTGGTTTTTCTGGAGGGAAAGATTTGGTAATATTGGGATTGATTCATTGCATTGGAAACCTTGTGATCTTTCTATGCCTTTTGGCATATCTGAATGTTTTAGTATATGCATCAATATGAATAAAAAAGGTGCCTGTTGACAAAGTAAGCTGAGAATTAGCACATTAACTTGAACATTGATATAGTACAATTCTTGTGTTTTAGGGATGGACAAGATCTTCAGCTTGGTGGCTGTTTAAGAGATTTCCGTAATCGTCCCAATCCAGTTAGACTGAAAATTCGCTATTATGAAAAAGTTCTAACGGTTAGTGTCAGGTTGTTTATGTTGTGGTAAAATTTTATCATTGGTTTAAACTTTACTTTCAAACTCCTTATCATACATTACCATATCCAAGAACAAGGCAAATATAATTCAAACCAAGGAAAATATTATTAAACAATAATGTTACATAAAAATAATTGTAGCTGACATATGTAGTGGTTCTCACAGGTTGGATACTGAGGAATTGGCTGTAATTTAGTTTAAAAATGTAAACAATTTAATTAATTAATGCTGTCTCACATCAGACTCCAAAACCACACCAGTCACTGCTTAAGCAATGATGTGAATCTTGCTGACCAAGGCTGTTGTTTTTTTTATCTCTTTTGTTTAGCTATGGGTGCATATGGGTATGAGTACCAAGCCTGAAGACTTTGAGCTCTGTGCACGACTTGAGAACATCAATCTGGCAAAAGGAGGTTATTTTGGTTTATCCGCAGCCACAGGAGGATTAGCAGGTCACTAAACTTGACATCCAAGTCTTTTGGGATATTTTAATGTGACTTTTTTCAGAGAGGAAAATGCATGTGAGAGTGATCTCTTAATCAGGGTTCTTCAGAAAATTTAGTAGAGTGGATTGAAAGGCACATTGTGCTTTTCAAGCAGTGCAATGTGGACATACCGTATTTCCTTGAATAAGCACTAATAAGCTCTAGTAAGTACCCTCCCCCAAATAAGCACTTACCCTCTAGGCCTTAATATCAAACAAGTGCCCTCCCTCTAATAAGCGCCCCTCTCACCTCCCCATCACCCTCTTAGAGAGTAGGGATACAAGAGGAATGTGATGATCTGCAAATCATCGATTCGCGAGGATGATTAAGCACCCTCCCTCCAATAAGCTCCCCTCGCTATACCCAAAATTTTAAATAGGTGCCTAGGCACTTATACAAGGAAATATGGTAAGTAATGGGAGTGGGTGTGCTCCCACTTTGGGAGTCTGGGGACTTCCTGACTTCCCCGGTAAAATTTTTATGTTGGGGGCTCTTAAAAGTGCATTCCATTATCAAACAAAAGTGCTGATGCAGGACTCAAAAAAAGTCCAATCCATAGAAAGTAGAAAGTAGATTTCTAGATTTTTCATTCAGGGCAAGTATAAATGTTTAAACTTTACTTGCTAATTGCCCAATGGGTAAGGGTCCAGTCATCTTCTAACAGAATTGTTAACTATAAAGACAAGCAAGAATTGGCCCCAGGCAAGAATAATGTGAGAGCTGCTTACCCAAAGGACAGGCTTGAATTCAAGTTTCTTTAAGCTATGTAGAAACAAATATCTTGAGTTAGTAGCTGGCGCTTCTGTGTTGACTTTAAAGCTGCATGGTTGCAGGAGCATCCCGGGAAATTCTGCTCAATACCCTGTTCTTTCTGCCTTCTCTTTTTACTTGAGAATCGAATGTACAAGTGGATATATACTACTTTTGGAGAATATATTAATGTACAGTACTGGGTGGTAATTCCCTCATGTCAAGTTTTGCAATTTTTAAATGTGTAGTATTAATTGTTTGCAGATGACCATGATGTAGTGTCTTTTATAACCCACTCACTTACTCCACCAAAGAAGGAGCGAGAGGTAATCACTGTTGTATTTATAATGTCTCAGTGATAGACAGGTAGGTAGGTACATGTAGGTAGGTAGGTAGGTAAAGGAGTTGCTATAGGTAGGTATGTAGGGTAGGTAGGTGGAAACAGAGGTTTTGTAGGGAGGGAGGAAGGGAGGTAGGTAGGTATATAGGTAGGTAGGTAAGGCGTCGCTAGGTAGGTACTCGAGGTAGGTAGGTAAGGAGTAATCGGTTGTCAGGTAGGTACACAGAGTCATTATTTAGTGAAGTTAGTACATAACAAAGTCTAACACTAATAAACTTCCTGCCTTGATTATAAGTTGCATCTGAATTAAATACCTGCCTTTTTTCTTTTTTCCAGGGTGAAACCGGTATGAGTGAAGAAGAGCAGAAGAAGCTTACTCAGCAATATGAGGAATATCAAAAAAAATTAGAGCAACAGAGAGAAGAGTAAGTAAACATAAAAAACAGTCCTCACTGCTTAAAAAAATTGGGGCCATAAGAGGTCATTATCTCAAGCAATAACTATTTACATTTTAGTAAAATCCATCTAGAGGTCTATTATCAATGCTGCATTCTGATTGGTTGAGCTTTTACTAGACTATATGTTATAGCCCACTAGTAGAAAAAAGCACTGGTTTTGAAAACCAATACAATAACGCCTGAATCGCGGTCTGCTAGTTTAAGTTGCTTTCTCTCGATATTTTTGACCAACTAGTTGGATTTTACTAAAACAATATTTCATGGCCTCTGAGTCAATAGCCCATTTGGCCTTCGACCTCATGGACTTTTGACTCACAGCCCAAGTGTTTTATGTCTCTGAGGAGTGTTCAAACATAGTGCTTTTGCATGACTTCATAGCTTTTTGTTTGGATTCATCATTTCCCGCTCGGTTAAGCATTAGTTAGAAGAGAATTTGTTTTACCTTTATGTTTTTTGGTGACCTAGGGGTTGTCATGGGACATGTCATANTTAAATACCTGCCTTTTTTCTTTTTTCCAGGGTGAAACCGGTATGAGTGAAGAAGAGCAGAAGAAGCTTACTCAGCAATATGAGGAATATCAAAAAAAATTAGAGCAACAGAGAGAAGAGTAAGTAAACATAAAAAACAGTCCTCACTGCTTAAAAAAATTGGGGCCATAAGAGGTCATTATCTCAAGCAATAACTATTTACATTTTAGTAAAATCCATCTAGAGGTCTATTATCAATGCTGCATTCTGATTGGTTGAGCTTTTACTAGACTATATGTTATAGCCCACTAGTAGAAAAAAGCACTGGTTTTGAAAACCAATACAATAACGCCTGAATCGCGGTCTGCTAGTTTAAGTTGCTTTCTCTCGATATTTTTGACCAACTAGTTGGATTTTACTAAAACAATATTTCATGGCCTCTGAGTCAATAGCCCATTTGGCCTTCGACCTCATGGACTTTTGACTCACAGCCCAAGTGTTTTATGTCTCTGAGGAGTGTTCAAACATAGTGCTTTTGCATGACTTCATAGCTTTTTGTTTGGATTCATCATTTCCCGCTCGGTTAAGCATTAGTTAGAAGAGAATTTGTTTTACCTTTATGTTTTTTGGTGACCTAGGGGTTGTCATGGGACATGTCATACTGAGTTGTGCCATCGCTTTCTCATATTATACTAGCACCAGATGGGTCAAAAGCCTTAAATTCAGTGATTCTGGGTCATGTCTAATACTGGCAAGGTGTGGCTTTGTTGCAGTAAAGCACAAAGAAACAGTGGCAAAACTGTCAATTTTCACAGTCCCTTGGGAAGAAATAACGTCATGCATGATTCAAAATGATGACTCTCATTTGTAGCACTATTTTGTTTATCTCAAAGGAAGAATGTCAATGAGAAAGAATGGACTCTCAAGGTGTTAAGGGAACAATTAGTAAAAAGAAAGATATTCATTTTGATCATTTGCATCTGACCTTGTCCTTCAATTCATCAACATACTCAGCAAATTTTTCTGTTTCCTTAAATATATGTCTTAATCGTTTCGATTTTTGAGTCTTAAATCATTGTTAAATGTTGTTACAGGTACAAAACTGCCCATCCTGATAGAGTAAAGGCACCAGAAACACAGGTAATTTAACAACAAACTTAAAGCAAATATTAAAAAAATTTCATCTTTTTAAAATGCCTAATACTAATATGCCAATGAATGGGACAAAAAGATTACGTGGAGCAAAATAGAGCTTTAATTTGAAGACAAATTCCAGCATAACATGGACAGAATTATTAAAGTTGTACCTTTTTTAATTTGCATCGAGGCTTCAAAAAATCCACTTTTCCATACAGTTTCTGGTCATTCGAAAAGCGGAAAGTGCTATCCGCTGAACCAGATAAATCACTTTTAAGCAAATAATGCACCGTCCACCTCAGCAAAATTTGTGCGCAATTTTTGGGCGACAATCCAGTTTCATTTCCTTGTACTTATCCATTGGCGAGTAATTTTGCAAAAATTTTAGTGACAAATATATTTGCAGAAAAACTCACCTGCAAGTTTTGTGCGGAGAATAAATATACTGTTGTAAGGCATATTTTTGTGCGTGACTCAGTGCACTATCCTGTGATCCTGTAAAGTTACTTAAGTTTGTGAAAGTAAGGAAGTACCATAGCTTACTGTCGTCACCTTTGCGACGCAATTTTGATTTGATATGCATTACTAAGAAGTTAGCAACGTCTTTTATATGAGAGATAGATTGCAAGAATGATATATTAAACATTTTTATAGGCTGTGCATTTGACTCGGGCGGTTTTGTATTGCATTACACTGTGGAACAATCTTGCTGTTACTTCCTCTGGTGATCATTTTGAGGTTGAGCCGGAAACTGTGGGCACTGTCCATTTAGCCCAAAATTCCGGAAATTTCGGTAAGAAATCAAATGGAACGGACCATTTGGGTTTGGTCTGACTGGAATATTTACGACCACCTTTGAAGGTGGTTACACTTTGACGGGCCCGGTCATGTCGGTTGGAAAAAATGAATGTCCCTTTTCATTGGACAAAATTGTTGTCCTCAGCACTGCTCTTTTGTATCCTGCTTACAAGAGCAATAACTAAACATGCGGTGGCTTGGGTCGGGTCTGTGCAATCGGAATGTACTGTTCCATTGGGCACGTGGAATTTCCGAAATTTCTAACCGGAATTTTTGTGAATGGAAAGCGCCCAGGGTCAAAGTTTGGACCCCTTTGAAATAGTCCAAGGGTGCAGTTCAATACAATTTGCCACTTTACAAGCCAGAAAGAAACTGGGATTGTAAACTAGGGACAGGGAAAAAATTGGCCAATAGCTGACTGGCGTGCTCTTAGTAACCATCCCAGAAACAACTGCGTGCTCCAGTGTCCTCTTTTTAAAGTGGCGAATAAGGCTCGTTCCTTTTAGCTAGGGAGAGAAGGAATGACATTCACAGTGTATGCTCTTGTTTTAGTATGAAAATGTTTATGAACGAGACGTTCGTCTGGTTTATGAAGGACAGAATGCAATCCACCAAATGATAAGGTGAGATATTACAAATGAGCATGAAAACTTGGTAAGGTTAGATCCCAAAATATTGAGCATTAATGTGGATACTTCCACTAGCTATAGGGGAAAAATAAACAAACAACCAAACATCAAAGAGGGAATCAAAATGAGTCTGTAGCCGGTAAATTAGCGGCGTAATTGTTAACAAGAATTGATTTTACATCGCCATTGATCAACTTTGCTGAAAGCATTCTCCCACACGTAAAAAAAAAAGTCCGCGTGGGCTAGACTACCCCTGAGAGCCGGTGAAACAGAAAGCATCTTAACAGTGGATCTTTAGAAATTGTTAAAATCCTTTATGCCAATCTGGCATGAATGATTGATGGCTGATTGTGGAAAATTTGCTAATAATTGATAAACACCCGCACCAATCCATGCAACAGACAACATAATTATTTCCATGTAACTGGAACTTTCTGTATTTTTGCCGTTTAACTTCGTTTAGAAGCCAATTCACAGGTACATTTTAAATAAATGTATATATGTGTGATTTAACTATAATTTGGAGTTATACCAGTCCATGGTGAACTAAGAAAGTAGGGGGCGAACTTCTAGGGGGCTAATTCACTTGGAGGCAAACTCACTGATTTTCCTGTCTTTACTTTGTTGCAGCAACCTTCATAACAAAGTTGGGGAGCTTACAACACAAATCAACACACTATACTCATTTGTCACCTCAGATCATAACAAGTTGAGCCACGTGGTAACACAAGATCAAACTATAAACAGACAGGAAGTGAACACACTAATAAACATGCAGAACCAACTAACTGCTAAATTACACGAGATTAGGTAAGTACAAATTTCAAATTCATCAGTGGTGACGTAGCGGCAACGCCCGAACAAGGTCACTTAAAAAAGTAAAAAGCGCTGAAACCAAAAGCACTTCTCAATCAGAACTTATATTGGCAGAGCGTGACAGAAGTGTTGTCCAATAGCCTAGGGATACCCAAAATTTGGTTTTATTTTCATAGAGCATTTAATTTTGGTAAAACTGCCCCTTTTAATGGTTCGTGGAAAAAATGTCCGCAAGAAGCTTGAATAATGGCCATTCCTCTGAATTTTGTGCTGTTTAACATGAAGCTCGACCTCCGAAAACATCAACAGCGGAGTCCATTCCATTGAGAGATGTTGCGGAAGCACCAATCACTGTCATCAACGGTCATNCTTACAACACAAATCAACACACTATACTCATTTGTCACCTCAGATCATAACAAGTTGAGCCACGTGGTAACACAAGATCAAACTATAAACAGACAGGAAGTGAACACACTAATAAACATGCAGAACCAACTAACTGCTAAATTACACGAGATTAGGTAAGTACAAATTTCAAATTCATCAGTGGTGACGTAGCGGCAACGCCCGAACAAGGTCACTTAAAAAAGTAAAAAGCGCTGAAACCAAAAGCACTTCTCAATCAGAACTTATATTGGCAGAGCGTGACAGAAGTGTTGTCCAATAGCCTAGGGATACCCAAAATTTGGTTTTATTTTCATAGAGCATTTAATTTTGGTAAAACTGCCCCTTTTAATGGTTCGTGGAAAAAATGTCCGCAAGAAGCTTGAATAATGGCCATTCCTCTGAATTTTGTGCTGTTTAACATGAAGCTCGACCTCCGAAAACATCAACAGCGGAGTCCATTCCATTGAGAGATGTTGCGGAAGCACCAATCACTGTCATCAACGGTCATTCAATAATTTTCAGGGCTAAGCTCGTTAAACGGTTGTCAATATAACGTGCGTATACTCCCTTTAGCCTGCTCCGCTGCGGAACCAACATCAGAAGCAGGAGGCACCTGTGCAGAGGCTTTTTCAAAATGGGAACCTTTACCGTTGTCACAATTTAATACTGAAATTTGTCCATTTTATATTTGACAGTAATTCTATAAATCAAGGAGGGAATATTGAGAGGAGAGATGTCGGAGATGCTGCTGGTGTAAACTCGAAGCTTAGTGATGTGCAGACTGCGATTGAATCACTGACTCACTCAGTAAACCACATGTCAACTCAGCAACTAGTAAGTTCTTACGAGGTGAAGTCAGCGGACAAAACTCCCGCTTCTCTTGCCTAAGCCTCGCACGGATAATACGACCATCTTCCATTGAGCAAGAAAGAAATCATTCCTTATATCTACTTAGAACTTCAACTCACACTGTTTTTTTGTCCGAGCATTGAATTTCCTGGAAAGACACGTTCTCCCTCGAGTGCTATCACACTTTTGAAGTCCCACCTTATTAATTATGTACATGCCATCCGTGGTAGCTTCTGCATAGTTGCTTGTGATGCAGTTCTCTATCGCATTAAATTTTCATAGTGTGCAAATCTCACCCGTGTACTGATTTTTCCTTTTTGTTCTTTCCTTTTCAGATGGGAGGCCAGGAAAAGAAAGATTGCCCCCCTCCTCCTCCAATGCCGCAATGTATAGGTCCTGGTTACTTTGTTGTTTTAATTGTATCTCAAGTTATTATGCTTGTTGGCTACATCGCCTACCAGAATCAAAAAGAGGCTGCAGCCAAGAAATTCTTTTAGGATTCTATCTTCAAGTGANATGCCGCAATGTATAGGTCCTGGTTACTTTGTTGTTTTAATTGTATCTCAAGTTATTATGCTTGTTGGCTACATCGCCTACCAGAATCAAAAAGAGGCTGCAGCCAAGAAATTCTTTTAGGATTCTATCTTCAAGTGACCTCCCACAAACTGGTCTGGATTCCGGGCCTCGCACAGAGTGGTTGTCCCATAATTCTAGGCGTGCATGCACCAAAGGTTGCACTTTTAAGAAGATGTGGCGACAAAAATTGTAAAGGATTTACCAAAAAATGTGTCACAACAAATATTTGCACTTTTAATATTGAACTTGAAGGGACTGTGTCACGTGGCTCGGCTGTGGCTAATTTTCTTTACAATACCTAGTACTTACGCGTCCTTATTCCGGCCCAACGGATCTTGAGAAATTACTTGTATTATGGCAAAATCAGAGCTCTGTGTCAAACAAATATGCCTCCCTAGCATTTTTTCAAACGTTACAATTTTTGAAAATCTGCAAGGCTGGCTCTGAAGTTTTCAAAACAACAAGTGCAATCCATTTCGATTTAATTCAAGTCTGCATTCGTGCCTCCGGCCTTTTGTATTTGCTCCGTTATTTATACCTATTTTTAACGTTTTATGTCGGTGGTCCCCCTGACCTATGTTTCATTTTATTTGATGGCGGCTCCCACTCTTTGAATTTAAATTAATTTCGTGGTACAGCTCCTGGCACAGCTCCTTTGAGTTGTGAGAATCGTATGGAATGACGTGAAATTTTTATTGCTGGGGAAATGTTGGACAGCGTTTTTCCTTAAGTAAAGCGCTGGTTTGTTTTGAACGCTTAGTAATCTAGGTGTCCTGAATAATGTTTCACGCTAATGGGTATGTTAAAACAACAACAACAATAACGAACAAACAAAAGCCCGAAAGCTTATAAATCGAATCTTATAATTGGATGCAACATTTTGCAAAATTAAATTTTTATAAATCAAACGATTGCAGTTGGTAGTTGTCTCTTGAGTCTTGAAGCATACTAGCATTTTTAATTTTTCTTTTTCCAAATTTTGTGTCATTTGTGATAAATTAGGGTTTTATTTTATTGCTTAGAATCCATTGCATATTTATCAAAATTAAATTATTAAGTCTCCCATTTAGCAAAGCTTCAGTCCAACAACTTCTTGTCCAAGGGAATCAAATGTTTTAATGTTCTATATTGGCGTGCCTGATTGGGGTGTTTGTAGGTGGATCTTCGTCTCTCTCCTTCGCAGAGGCCTCTTTGTATCGTAGGGAGGGCTGGAGAGAGGGAAAAAGAAAGCGCGCGGGGGATAATGGGAAGGGGAAAGAAACCTAGTTCCAGTCTTCCTCGGAAATCCGGCGCCATCTTGAATGCATTATATGGCAGAGGCTCCCGCCTTTTCCCTCTTCCTATCGTCCCCCGCGCGCTTTCTATTTTTCGATTATTGCTATTTTTATTGGGATACCCAGCGGGAGCCTCTGCGGAGGAGAGAGGATCTTCGTCAAATGCCCAGTTCAAGTAGCCTGCGAGCATGCTATCCACCTGGGGGAGTCGCGAGAAGTCACGCGAGACCCACATGCGAGTGCGAGGCGCGTTATCCCTTGTCTCTCTTCGCTCGCCATAATTGGAGAGCTTGCTCGCTGGCTAAGTTCAAGCGTCGAAGTTTACATGTGACCAAACTAAATGCCAAATCGCACAAAATTTGTGGTTCTCACTCATTAGTGTTAGGTTCGTCCCATGTGAAGTTGGACCTTTGACCCTGCCCAAGAACTCGATTCATTTCTCAAGCGTGGCCATAAACATAATTATGATGCGTTTTCAAGCCTATTTTTTCCCCTTCCGATGCATTAAACCATTTTAGACTGACATCATCGAGAATGTTATCCATAGTCTTTTTCGCATATTTATAGTGGAGGTCAGTGAGAATAGTTTGGTTAAAAAATCAAAAACAATAAGATACCGGGCAAAGTTGTTCGAAGCCAGATTTCGTGTTTTAACTACCAATTGCCATGGTAACATTAGCCGCGAAGCGTGACATTCTTGACGAAGAGGAGTTCAGCCTATTCCAGTCAGCTCTCCCCCAACAACTCTATTTTAACTTTCTTTCTTTCATTCACGCCCCTCCCAACTGGAATAGGCTAGGAGGAGATAGAAAAAAGCCTTGTCTCACCCCTTCGTGATTGACTGTTTCCTTTTTCAGAACACAGCCTTATAACATCTGTTTCCAGGCTAAACGGGTTTTGAACAACTTGGTTCTGCTGCTGTCTTCCTTTCTGCGACAGTCTTAATTTCATCCCTGATATTTTCACCCTGGTGTCTTCGTAATCTTCAGATAGCTTGTAAACAATATTATGCATTTCAGTAAAATAAAATTTTAGAATTGTTCGCAACTTCAGTGGATTTTACTTTCACTTATAGGCTGGCTATGATTCTGCGTTAACCCTTTAAGCCCTAAGAGTGATCAGTATCAAAATTCTCCTTGTGATATCCATGCTTTATAGCACAGATTGATGATGAGAATTAACGAGATGATCACACAAGATACAATGAGTTCATACTTCAAGAACTTCTCGCTACTACTTTTACGGGAAACATAGGGACAGCAAATGGGAATTTGAATTTTGATATTAGGGCTTGGCTGACATCTCACCTCTTGGGTCCCCATGTAAACAGGCCCTTAGACTTCAGTTACCCAAGGATTATCCAAGCGGAAACAGTAAGTCACGTGTTAACGCAAACGGCCCAGTTGCATTGCACGCTTCAAAAATACCCATAATGCACCTGTGTAGTTGGTAGTCCCAGGATTAGAGTTACGCTCTTGATTCTGCGCACTAAAAGGTAGCTTTCCATTCTTGGTTTGCAACCACGTGAGAAGGCGTCATGTTGGTGGTAAATACAATAATTCATAGAATTTGTATGGAAATAGAGCTAACTTTTGCTCTTGACCCCTTGCATGGGTACTGCGACGTCACGTACGTGCGAACCAGCAATACTTCCTTTTTCCTGTTCATAGCCTTTTCAACGTACCTGGCTCAGTTTGGTAAAAAAATCAAAATGCTTATCAAAGGTGACAGGCAAGCGTGCTTGCCGAGATGCTGAGATCTCAAGCGCTAACCCTGCCTTTAGACTGCAAAACAGCCCATATTTTTTCCTAGGTTAAGAACGCGCGAGCGAGAGGTCAAAGGAAAGGTCTCCCTTCGCGCCTTGTAAAACCATTTTTGAAGAAAGAAGAAAAGCCGATCGTCTGTTTTGCAGTCTGGTACTCCTCTGTTGTGTTTGCCAGTTTGCTGATAATGCACATTGCGTGATCCATCCTAGGAGACCCAGGGGCAGTTAGTCGGGTCGATAAAATGTTCATGGTGAAAGTTTACTGGAAGATCGATCTTACGGTAAACTTTCACCACGAACATTTTATCGACCGGACTAACTGCCCCTGGGTCTCCGAGGATGATTTGCTGAATAGCATCTGCACTTCGCACCACGAAAATAGGTAGGCATTGCAGAAACTGTACATGTAGAAACCTAGAGGGAGAGTCGCGGGAGCATGGAAACACCGAAGACCAAGCATACAGTTCTCGACAAAATTAAACATAAACGACCCATCCTCTCTGAAAGAAAAAGCGTGTAGTCCACTCCAGGAATTTTCTATCAATATCGCAATTAAATTCTGGACTGTTTTGGGCATGTAGGCGTTTAATTACTGCTGCACTTCGGTAAACGATCGAGTTTTAGTAAAATAGTCTCCTAGCCTACCGCGTTACATTAACCCATTCGCTCCTGGAAAGCTAGTCAAGCCGTTTTTTGTGTCTGGCCAAGAACCAAAACGCTATATATTTTTAAGTCGAGCATTGTGGTCATTTTGCTGCCTTCGTTTCTGATGCTTCTTCCGAAGTTCGGGCATGCGCTTCTACTACTACGGCTTACATACTCTTTAACGCTTTCGCATGATCGAAAAGACTAATGCACTTCTACTTCCACTTCCTTTCTCTTTAATGCTTTCGCATCGAAAAGAGATAAGTAAAAACCAAAAGCAATTCTAAAAAATTAAATAACTTTTTGCGCTAATCACCCCGCGAGCAGAGAATACATTTTCGCGGTATGAGCTTGCGTGCGAGCATACCGCGAAAATGTAGCCTCTGCTCGCAGGGTATGCTCTAATCGTCGAGGCGCAGAATTCCAAATTTTCGAGTTACGGGGTTATCTCGACTGTCGGTTATCTCGTGTATTTTACCATGGGCGGATTTAGGGGTTGACCGAGCAAACTGTAGTGAAATTTTGTATTATTTCTAAGAATTATCAGTAAAATAAATAGTACTGTCTAAAAAGCTGCCAAGTGTCCCGGCCACCCCTTTCTAAACTATCTCGATCCGCCCTGTTTCCTTTCCGCTTTTTCTCCCTCAACTTGCATCAGGAAGGGCTGAAAAAAAAAAAGAAAGAAGGATAACTTAGAAATCAACATATAAACTTGTTGCTCACCATCAAACATTATCGTCTTTGTCATCTTAGCAAAAGATGATTTACATGTTTCATGCAAAAAAATGCAACCATTTTTTAAGGACTTTCCAAGGACCACCTACCAGGAACATATTTTCACAGATAACTTTAAAAAAAATGCACATTCCCAGTTCAGTTGAACTGTTTGCTCCACCAACTGCTCTAAATTTTTCAGTTCACTTATCTTAAATATCATTGATAGTTACTTACTGCATAAAACAAAAAATACTTTATTTAAATCAGCTTTAACTTCACATAGCTATGATTTATATTCTGCCTTGGACAACCAAAAAGCTTTAAAACACACTTTTCAAGCCAATACATTCAAAGTTAAGAACTTTCTTAACAACTTTTCAAGGACTGGCACAGACATTTGAGGACTTTTCTACAAAAAAAAAAACTGTGCAAACCCTGTGTTAACTTGTAAAGGCCCACATTGATTGGTTAGCCTGCAATCAAGCTCTCTGGGGCACTCTGGTGGTGGGGCAGGAAAAGGAGAGGTGAGCTTGCAACTACATCTCTGGAATTTGAATTCTGCGTCCAATTCCCCTATGGCTCCCCGTCGACTGAGCTGTCAGATTTCCACCAATCAGCACGAAGTGGAAACAAGTGCACATGTAAACATACATTGAAAAACATGTAAAGGCAAGTGCCAAGGGTAGTGACGCCATTCTTAATGTCATCTCCACCAATCAACATTTTGAATCAACTTTTTTGATGCAGATATTCAAATTCCTGAGATGTACACCTGTAGTTGCAAGACTCTTTCCTTTTCCCGCTCCCGCTGTCAGAGCACGCCCGAAGAGCTTGCTTAAATAAGGACCACAAAGAGAGAAAGAGAGAGAGAGAGAGAGATGGAGAAGGGAAGGTGAAGGTAATCAACAGTAATATACTTACATGTTTTAATTGCAGTCTGGCAAAATAGGTTCTTGTACTTTAGGGTGGGTATTACAGTCCTCCCAAGAGAAATAAAAGACACTGCTTATGCAAAATCTTGGGGGGCAAACAAGGTTTATAATGGGAGATGTGCAAATGGCAAATAAGAGAAAAGAAAAAAAGGGAAAAGCCCATTTTCTTTTTCCATTCCCCCCTCCTTTTCATTCACTTCTCCTCCTCTTTTGATGGTCCCACATGCATCAGGTAACAAAGTGTCTTTCATACATGATGTCAGTTCTCTGTTTTCTTCCCGGCAGGGCTGGGATCTCCGCCTTCTATAAGCACGGCTCTTTTTATTGGAAACAAAAAAGAAATAGAACAAAAAGAAATTCTTTAAGCCTAATAATATTACACATTCTCTATTTTCCAATTCCCCATAATACACTCTGTTTGCCCCCCAAATTTTGCATAAACCATTGTTTTTAAATGCTCCTGGGAGTATTGCATTTTCCCAAGAGCATTTTAAGACAATAAGTTATGCAAGGGGGGGGTTATATACTGGAAAGAAAGAGAGAAAGAAAGAAATACACTTTATTTGAGTGTCAATGTATTTAGTACGAAAGTACTAACTGGGGACACTATTTCTTACGTTTTCTACTGGAGACAGGACCGCCATTTTACGTAGTCATCCGAGCCAAGCGAAGGTCTAGCCATTTGCAGGGCAAAGGCAGTACCTTTGCTACCCTTACCCTTATCTTCATTTCTTAGATATTTTAAGACCCTAAGTATTGGTCCGGTCCCGGGAATTGAACCCGCCACTTGCCGCTCTGCAGTCAAGCTGCTCTGCCGACTGAGCTAATCTTGATTTTAATTACCCTGGGTGCCAGACACTTTTCATGCGCGGTTTCCGGTTTCGGTCAAGTCTTAAAAAGTGACCCGCGAAAAGTTTTTTCTCGCCGCTTCGCCGCTCGTGTCTTCGGCCGGAGGCCGAAGACGTGTCGGCCTGCGGCCGACGAAGCTCCTCGTCACACGCGAAAAAAAACTCTCTGGTACCCAGGATAGATTTTAATCGGGTCTACTTCACATAACGATGGTGTGCCACCTGGCCTCTTTGACTGAATCGTGCTGATTCGAAGATGGTTTGAAAGATCTCTTCACCCGGTTCAAGTTAAGATTCAAAGTTAGTTGTCTATGACCTTTTATAACTGATGACGTCACAAGCAGTACAAGGATATTGAGACTAATAAGACTAGTACAACTGTCAGACTTAATCTTTGATCTACCTCTCTTAGTGTATTGCTTGTTTCATACCCCACTACCTAAGATATATAACTTAAAATAATTAATATAATATTATATCATAGTAAATATAATTTTAGATTTCATTTTTGGGAGTTGACATTGAAAACTCTTAGTTAATCCAACTCCCTTCACTTATATATCTTTTAGTTTCTGTTATCTATAGGCCTGTCTAATTGTAATGTTAAAACCCATTATTTTTTATTAACCTGTGTATTTCCATTGTAAAGTGAAATAAAACCTGCCTTGAATCCACACGGGCAGGGGAAAGGATGTGGATGCATTAATGAAACCCAGAAAACAAAAAAGGTTAATTTGTCTTAGTACACCAGTACATGTAAAACTTAAATTGAATAGTTTCTAAAGGAATTCCCTTATCTTTAAAATGCCTTTTAGTTACATCATTGAACAGATCATGGAAATCATTCTTAACTTTTTCACTCCCACCTGCTAACTGAGAAAAAGATGAGAACATCTTGAAAGCATGATCAAAAGAACTTGTTCTAGAATATTTGAAGTCTATACATTCCTCTGGGTTGCTAAATAAGCCTTGTGAGAGATCAGTGAACACTTTTCTCCACCCTTGCATGAAAGGAAAAACCAGATTATAGTTCTCATCTAAAATACGAAGAAAATTTTTTATCTCTTTCAACCATATGGCGGCCATGTCATCAAGTACAACCCAAACCATGCCAAATGAGCCTCTTGGAGTCAGAACACGGTGGAATTCTTTGAGAGCAGCTCGGTTGGTAAACCAGTGGAAACTTTGAGCAGCAATCACTACATCCACACTTGCATCAGGAAGGGCTGAAAAAAAAAAAGAAAGAAGGATAACTTAGAAATCAACATATAAACTTGTTGCTCACCATCAAACATTATCGTCTTTGTCATCTTAGCAAAAGATGATTTACATGTTTCATGCAAAAAAATGCAACCATTTTTTAAGGACTTTCCAAGGACCACCTACCAGGAACATATTTTCAGAGATAACTTTAAAAAAAATGCACATTCCCAGTTCAGTTGAACTGTTTGCTCCACCAACTGCTCTAAATTTTTCAGTTCACTTATCTTAAATATCATTGATAGTTACTTACTGCATAAAACAAAAAATACTTTATTTAAATCAGCTTTAACTTCACATAGCTATGATTTATATTCTGCCTTGGACAACCAAAAAGCTTTAAAACACACTTTTCAAGCCAATACATTCAAAGTTAAGAACTTTCTTAACAACTTTTCAAGGACTGGCACAGACATTTGAGGACTTTTCTACAAAAAAAAAAACTGTGCAAACCCTGTGTTAACTTGTAAAGGCCCACATTGATTGGTTAGCCTGCAATCAAGCTCTCTGGGGCACTCTGGTGGTGGGGCAGGAAAAGGAGAGGTGAGCTTGCAACTACATCTCTGGAATTTGAATTCTGCGTCCAATTCCCCTATGGCTCCCCGTCGACTGAGCTGTCAGATTTCCACCAATCAGCACGAAGTGGAAACAAGTGCACATGTAAACATACATTGAAAAACATGTAAAGGCAAGTGCCAAGGGTAGTGACGCCATTCTTAATGTCATCTCCACCAATCAACATTTTGAATCAACTTTTTTGATGCAGATATTCAAATTCCTGAGATGTACACCTGTAGTTGCAAGACTCTTTCCTTTTCCCGCTCCCGCTGTCAGAGCACGCCCGAAGAGCTTGCTTAAATAAGGACCACAAAGAGAGAAAGAGAGAGAGAGAGAGAGATGGAGAAGGGAAGGTGAAGGTAATCAACAGTAATATACTTACATGTTTTAATTGCAGTCTGGCAAAATAGGTTCTTGTACTTTAGGGTGGGTATTACAGTCCTCCCAAGAGAAATAAAAGACACTGCTTATGCAAAATCTTGGGGGGCAAACAAGGTTTATAATGGGAGATGTGCAAATGGCAAATAAGAGAAAAGAAAAAAAGGGAAAAGCCCATTTTCTTTTTCCATTCCCCCCTCCTTTTCATTCACTTCTCCTCCTCTTTTGATGGTCCCACATGCATCAGGTAACAAAGTGTCTTTCATACATGATGTCAGTTCTCTGTTTTCTTCCCGGCAGGGCTGGGATCTCCGCCTTCTATAAGCACGGCTCTTTTTATTGGAAACAAAAAAGAAATAGAACAAAAAGAAATTCTTTAAGCCTAATAATATTACACATTCTCTATTTTCCAATTCCCCATAATACACTCTGTTTGCCCCCCAAATTTTGCATAAACCATTGTTTTTAAATGCTCCTGGGAGTATTGCATTTTCCCAAGAGCATTTTAAGACAATAAGTTATGCAAAATTTGGGGGGCAGACAGAGTGTATTATGGGGAATTGGAAAATAGTCAATAATAGCGATAGCCTTGCAAGGGCTTTAGTATCAAAAAATTGAAGGTGGCAGGCAATTCGCAAGAGATCAAATGATGACATCTAAGGTATTGTATTGGTGAAGTACTAAATGAACATTTACAAAGCACAGAGTTTCAAGCAGCTTACGTATATTCTCAGCGGGGCATTGGATAATTTCCGTATCAGGCACCATAAGTTTTAACTGCTCACACATGCTTTGCAGTGGCTCACTTGCAATCACTCTCACGTTCTTGTCTTTCAACACTTCTAACATGACGCGAGTAAATTTTCCCGTGCCACAACCGACCTCCAAGATAGTAAAAGGGTGATCTGTTTGGTTCTCTGCAGCTTTGTCATGGTTGTCCCAGTTCACACCAAGTTTGCGCAAGAAAAACTCTACTGCCTCGAAAGAATAATTGGCACGAACATTCTCGTAGTTAGAAGATGAAGCAAAGGCTTTCTGTGCCATTTTAGCCACCACTTCACTGTCACCATTATCAGTCATTTTTTGAAAGGTTTATTTTGAACGTTTCCGCCGACAGTGCATGGAGAGGTAATTTAGTTCCGCTTATATGAATAAACTTGTGAAGAAAGTATGTCTTCACCAGTCTCTTTCGCCGAACCAGATAACGCGGTCAACATGGGTGCAACTTGTATTGCAACATTTCTGCAAAACGAGTTGAACATTATAACGATGTTCACAGTTGCGCGTTTTACTGATCCTCCACTCTTAGTGTATTGCTTGTTTCATACCCCAATACCTAAGATACTGTGTGGCCCGAAATTTTTGCGGTTTCTCTAAATTATTTGCGATTTCTCCAGCGATCCGCAAGTTCCCGCAAGTAAAAATTACCGCAAACATTTTTCTCCAAAAATTTACTACAGAGTAAGTATTCTCTAACTTAAATTCGCTACAAAAAATACAGTACTAAGAAATAAGTGTCTGTTCAATTACAACTTGTTTCTTCCTTTGAGAAAGAAAACGGTATACAGGTATACAAAGAAATACTCTAAAATTCCGAAAATAAGCCCCTCCATATATAAGCCCCTCCAAATATAAGCCCCTCAAACTGGGAACGCAAAAAACCCTCCGTAAAATATCGCCCCTCCAAATATAAAGCCCCCGGGGGCTTGTACTTGGAAAATTGCCCTCAAATACAAAGTAAAGCAAAGCAAAAATGGTAAATTTCCTTCCAACTAAAAGGCTAGCCCAATCGATTTTGAAACGCAAATTTCCCTCCGTAGATAATCCCCTCCAAAAATAAGCCACTCAAAAAGGGCCTTTGAAAAATATAAACCCCTGGCCTTATTTTCGGAATTTTACGGTAATGGTTTTAAGGGTACGCACACCATAGTATTGTTTGAGAATATGTATTTCTATTGCAAGTACTCAATGAAAACGAAAATATCATCAATGCTGGGTACTGGGTACCTTCTGAAAGTTGCAAAAATTTATTCCTAGCGAGAAAAACCAGTCCCTCCTTCAAAGATGCCAACCTCTGGAGACCTAAAATCGGGAGACTGTCTTTTTATCACTACCCCACCCCCCCGGAATTTCAACGAAACCCCCCCTCCCCGAAAAACTGACACAGCCCCCAATGGGAATGACTTAGGACATTATATGACGTCTTACATGATGTACATACTATCAAAATTCGAAATTTGTCAGTGACTAAATACGTGCAAAATAAGGAGTCCTTATCCCAAAAATTAGTTCCCGCGAAACACAAAAAATCGCCAATCCGCAAAAATTTTGTGTCATACGGTACACATTAATAATAACTAAGATCATGTTCGCGCATTCTGACTGGTTAAAAACCTATGGTTTATTGTGCCGGTAAACTAATAGAAAACTTAAAAGTTATTTCATAAAAGCAATAGAGCACACTTTCCATGGGTTACCGGCGTCATAACCCACTTGGGATGTTGGGAGAAAACTTGAAAAGCTTATAAATAACTCTCCTTCAGCTCGTGATTTACAAGCTTTTCTCGTGTTCTCCTAACATCCCGCCTGGGTTATCACGCTGGTAACCCATAGAAAGTGTGGTCTACTGCTTAAATAACTTATAATAATAAATTTTTTTTTCATTATTAATATCATTGTAAATCAACCATGTCCCCAGGGCCCTTTTCCCTGGCCTAAGAGTTGCATTGTAAATATAATTGAAGATTTCATTGTTGGGAGTTATCTTTGAAAACTCTTAATTGCTCCAACTCCCTTCACTTATATATCTTTGATTTTCTGTTATCTATATGCCTGTAATGTTAATACCCATTATTTTTTATTAACCTGTGTATTTCCATTGTAAAGTGAAATAAAACCTGACTTGAATCCACACGGGCAGGGGAAATTGGGTGTGAATGCGTTAATCAAACCCCGAAAACAAAAAAGATTAATTTTTCTTAGTACACCAGTACATGTGAAACTTAGTTAATCCAACTCCCTTTACTTATATATCTTTTAGTTTCTGTTATCTCTATGCCTGTCTAATTGTAATGTTAATACCCATTATTTTTTATTAACCTCTGTATTTGCATTGTAAAGTGAAATAAAACCTGACTTGACTTGATTGAATCCACAAGGGCAGAGGAACGGATGTAAACGTGTTAATCAAATCCCAGAAACAAAAAAGACTAATTTTTCTTAGTACACCAGTACATGTAAAACTTAAATGGAATAGTTTCTAAAGGAATTCCCTTATCTTTAAAATGCCTTTTAGTTACATCATTAAACAGATCATGGAAATCTTTCTTATCTTTTTCACTCCCACCTGCTACCGGGGAATATGATGACAACATCTTGAAGGCATGATCAAAAGAACTTGTTCTAGAATACTTAAAGTCTATACATTCTTCTGGGTAGCTAAATAAGCCTTGTGAGAGGTCAGTGAACACTTTTCTCCACCCTTGCATGAAAGGAAAAAACAGAGCATAGTTCTCATCTAAAATAGAAAGAAAGTTTGTTATCTCTTTCAACCATATGGCGGCCATGTCATCAAGTACAACCCAAACCATGCCAAATGAGCCCCTTGGGGCCAGAACACGATGGAATTCTTCTAGAGCAGCACGGTTTGTAAACCAGTGGAAGCTTTGAGCAGCAATTACTACATCCACACTTGCATCAGGAAGGGCTGGAAAAAACAGAAGGAAGGATAACTTAGAAATTAACATATCAACTTATATACATGTATCAAAAATTGTCATCTTACATTGCAACCATTTTTTAAGGACTTTCCAAGGACCACCTACCAAGAAGGTAATTTCACAGATTATTGTACAAAAATGCACATTCCAGTCCATTCTAACGGGACTTTAAGGATTGAACTTTTTGCTCCACCAACTGCTCTAAATTTTTCAGTTCACTTGTCTTAAATGACTTAAATTGCTAGTTAATTACTGAAAAAAAAAACAAAGATACTTTAGGTAAATCACATTTAACTAATTTGCTGAGCTATGATTTATATTCTGTCTTGGACGACCAAAAAGCATTAAAAAACACTTTCCAAGCCAATACATTCAAAGTTAAGAACATTCAAGGACTATTCAAGGACTTACACAGAAATTTAAGGACATTTCCAGGAAAAAATGGAAATATTCAACAACAACAACAATATACAACAATGTATTTTGCTCGAGATCCATAAAGTTGTAACAATACTTTATACACTGCAAATAGCTATAAAAATTATAAATAAAGGCGTTATTAAATTACACATTAAGAAAAAAGGAAAAGAAAAGAAATGCAAGTACAACACACAGTAAGAAAAACCCCTCACACAAACTCAAACACAGGGCTTTTGTTACTAGAAAAAAAGACTAAAATTACAACTGGAGGTATATACAACGTATCAGGTTAACTTCTTAAATATTCTATTAAATAAGTAACAAGGACTTTTCAAGGACTTCCCCAAAAATTCATGACTTCAAGACTGTGCAAACCATGTATTAATTTGTAAAGGCCCATAATGATTGGTCCTTATTAAATATAGACCACAAAAGTATTGTTCCCATCTCCTCTCTTAGAGAGATGGAAATGGGAAGGTGACGGTGAAATAGGTTCCTGTATTTTAGGGTAGTTATTGGAAATTCAGGCCAAGTAGGTTGTTAATCAGCTTAATATTTTCTATTGAGGAGATACAGTTATTGATATTCACCAGGAAAATAAATAAACTTGAATTTTGTCCTATATGCACTACTTTTTCACAAGCCTAACAAAACTAATTACACAATAAACATACCAATGATATCTAACTAGATTTTTTTGCATCAATGTAATTCTGCATTCTTGAAGTCAAACAGTGGGGTTAAATTGTTTATCATAATAAATTAAACTGTAACTCACATGAACCTGTTTCATCTTGCTTGGCTAAACAGGTTCTTATATTTTTGCGTATTAACATGGCAAATTTCTGCTGGCAGGTTCTTAAACCACTAGGTTCTTAAAGATGTGTTTTACTGTACACTGGAATCTCAATACAACAAACCCCTAAATAACTTAAAAGTCCTCTGTATGACGAACGATTTTCTTCACCCCAGTAACAGTAAAGCATATGAAAAAGAACCTGGATATAAAGAAACCTCATTATAGCCAAAAAAATTTCAGGGCAAGGAATAAGGGCCGGTAGCTGGCCAAAACTGCTGGCTAGTTAGCCATCCTTAGCCGGCTACTTTCATCTTCTTCTACCATAATATTTTATTGCTAACAAAAAATTATTAAGCATCATTGAATAAAATTGAGCATCTGTTTCCCAGAAGTAACGACACTGAATGCACATTCTAACAGGTTTAGACCTGTGAAACCTTTGAACTGTGTGATGTCTTTGAATGCCAGGGACATTTTGACGGCTTTGTTCCCAGTCTTGCGTGACTGTATTCTGAGAAAACAACATGGCGTCCACGGTGGGAAACCTCTCTTGTATACACCTGGAAACGCCATTACTGAGACTCTGATTTTCAAAATATCCCTAGATACCTCGGCCCTTACTGTGAAACTCACAAAACCGTGAACACCAGAAATATTTATGGAATGTTATTATGTTGCGAGAAATAAGCCTCATATTATTTAACAATTATTCCACAAGTGCACGTTGGATATGAGATGGTAGATAGTCAACAAGGTTTGTAATGCCAGGTTAGCTATAATCATCTCATATCCAACAAGCGTGAGGGGATTAATTGTTTTATTAAAAACACCCACAAAATGTCAAGAATTTTTCCCGACTTTATTTGTAAAAACAACTGATTTTCAGGTTATTTTTAATTTTTGAGCAGATGTGTACAATTACCATATTTGGAGAGTATGGTATAATTAACAATTATTCCTCGAGCCTGAATGGGCTCTGAGTCAATAGCTCGGCCAAATGGGCTATTGACTCAGAGGCCATGAGGGCAAGAGGAATAATAATATTGTTCTAGTAAAATCCAACTAGTTGGTCAAAAATATTAAGAATAAAAAAAGATTTAGCTAGGTAAAAGCTAGACTTTAATCCTTTTTTGCCACCAAAAAGCCCGCACTTTTCGCTACTAGTGGGCTATAACATACAGTCGAACCCCGCTATTTCGAAGTCCCAAGGGAAATGGAAAAAAGTTCGAAATAGTGGGGTTTCGAAATAACCGGGGAAGCGTAAAGGGGAAGGGTAAATCCAAGGGAATTCGATCTTCCTTCGAAATAGCGGGGACTTCGAATTAACCGAGTTCAAAATAGCAGGCTTCGACTGAATAGCCTAGTAGTAGCTCAACCAATCAGAACGGAGCATTGATAATACACCACTAGTTGGATTTTACTAATGGCTCATATACCATGATGGCTAAGCTAATCAGAGCTGTAGAATTGCATTATCCAATGATACAATTTTAATAATACACGTTAGGGAAAGGCCTGTAATTCCCTGCTAGCAGAGGCCTTGGAGGCCCTGCAAGGGCATAGTATAAAAAAAAAATGGAGAAGGTGGCAAGCAATTCGAAAGAGATGAAATGACATGTAAGATATCGTTTTTGTGCACAAAACATAGAGTTTTAAGCAGCTTACGTATATTCTCAGCTGGGCATTGGATAATTTCCGTATCAGGCACCATAAGTTTTAACTGCTCACACATGCTTTGCAGTGGCTCACTTGCAATCACTCTCACGTTCTTGTCTTTCAACGCTTCTAACATGACGCGAGTAAATTTTCCCGTGCCACAACCGACCTCTAAGATAGTAAAAGGGCGATCTGTTTGGTTCTCTGCAGCTTTGTCATGGTTGTCCCAGTTCACACCAAGTTTGCTCAAAAAGAACTCTACTGCCTCGCGAGAATAATTGGCACGAACATTCTCGTAGTTGGAAGATGAAGCAAAGGCTTTCTGTGCCATTTCAGCCACAACTTCACTCTCATCGGCCATTTCTGAAACGTGGGCTGTGCCATTAAAAAAAAAGCAAAGTTTGAAAGTATTTGATTTCAGTTAAATTTTAGTAAGGCTTACATAAATGAATAACTTAAGAATGTCGAAACCAGTCTTCTTTCGGCCCGTGTGAGCGTCGTCTCCGTGCTTCTTTGAACTAGACATACTGTAAGCCTTACAGTGTTCAAGCAAAATCTAATTCCATCAAGGCTTTTGACCGCGGAATCAAAACTCAGACGTAACTATACCCTTATTCTTTATTTATTGGTATACTTTTGGTGTTATTTTAGTGTTAATTATGATAGTGCATTTAGTTTACACCGAGTGTTCTGGTAGCTGTCAGAGACGGTTGTCGATTCTGTTTTCTTTTTCTTTTTTTCTTTGCTCTCTACTATCAAACTGATAGGATTCCCGTTTCATTTGAATAAAGATATGTTTTCATCAGTTAGGTAATTTTCGTCCAAAGTTTAACCCCCATTACTGGCTGCCACTGCCAAGAATTCGTGGAAGTTGTGCTTTGACGTTTTGTTGATTTGTCAATTGCATGGAAAGTGTTAAGGAGAATAAATGTAAGCTTATTTCGAGTCGTTATTGTGCCGATCCAATTCAGTTCAGTTTAGCTCTAACGTAGGCCTAAAGTAGGTTTTGTATACAAACAACTCCCTCTGAGGTGACATCACTAACTTGTTTCTCCGCTTGTGACGAAAAATTCAGTACATACATTAACTTCTTGTTTACTAATGCACCTATCAATGTTACATGTGGAGGTGGGGGAGGCTAGGCAAAGGCTGGAGATTTGAACTTGAAGCTTGCATTTTTCTGCTCAAATGCCCTACCCCAGGGACATCATATTTGGTCAAAAGGGAACAAAATTTCCACTTCTCCATCAACGACTAGATGTTAAACGTGTTTCATTGAAAGCAGTGATTTTGTTACCAACAGATCACTGTGGGAACAATGGCCACCCCTTTTGGCTACCAATTCCCCCTGGTAATGCAACTGGTAACCAACTAGTAACAAGATCTTTTACAGCTTCCAATTCATAATGGCATTTGTTATCGGTTGAAATTCAAAAGTCCCCACTCCAACTTTCTTTGTCAAATCCCTGCGCTTTGCCTGGCCTCCCTCTTATCCAGATTAACATTGATAGATGCATATCTGTCTTGTTTTACTAACTTTATTGTTGAAAAAGTTGCAGGAAATTAAGTGCTAAAGAAATAAAGATGTCTCATGCACCAGCTAAAATAGTCCTCAAGAGCACAACTACCAAGACGCTGAATGATCGGTGAGCAATCCGCCATGCACCTAATTAAATGGACATGGCATTGTTGTACCTTTATCTGGCTTCATGCTTGTCATCTTATTATGGCATGAATATTACAGTTATAAGCGCTTTATAAGAGCAAGAAGGCCATAGAATGTTTTGGCTAGTCAAGGTATTATATACTGCCTTCGTAGTAGACAAGGCTTACATGTAAGAGCTGGTTAGAATTATTTATGGTTGAAGGTGCATGTCTTTCAGTGAAGTATGCAATAGCATTGAAGCCAGTAAATAATTCAAGGTACAAATTCCTCCCTTCCATCCATCTTCTGAAGCTTTACTGACCTGGCCAAAAAGCAAGTCCGATCCCCACCACAAGTGACAATCACAGGAGTTAGAAGCAACCAGTTTCAGATATCCCAAGCCAGCATGAAGAATCGCCGCCTTGCAGCTCAGATGGCCAACAGACCGGATATCCAAGCTGCCCTTGGAGGAAACTCTCCCAGCCTTAAAAGCAGACTTGGCTCACCAAACAGAGGCGGAGGAAGAGGAGGAGGTGCTAAAAGTGGAGGATTGTTGAAAAATCGGCTCGGCACTGGTAGTGCTGGTCCACTGAGAAGTCCTGGTGGTGGTGGTGGTAGATTTCGTCAGGGAAGAGGACAAAGTAATGTCCGTGGTTTTGTCGGTGTTAGAAGGGGAAGAGGTGGAGCTGTTCGTGGTGGCCGTGGTGTGCAAGGTGCTAGAGGAACTGCTCGTGGTGGGCGTGGTGTGCGTGGTGGTAGAGGGGCAACAAGGGGGCGTGGACGGGGTCGAGGCAAAGGTGACAAACCAGTCTCAAAAGACAAGTTAGACGAAGAGCTTGATAAGTATATGTCAAAAACAAAGAGTCATCTTGATGCTGAGCTTGATGAGTACATGCAGCATGCAGATGATGAATGAATAAAGAAAGGACAGAAAAAACTCTGAAACTTTGAAGGAAATAGCTGTAAAAACAAGAGAGGACATTTTAGACTGGACAGATATGTCTTTGTTGTATCCTGAAGGATCAAATTCTGGACAGTGTATACTTTTGGCCAAAAAGACCAAGTGGATATTACATGTTTGTAAAGTGAAATATTAGTTACTGGAAGCTAAACTGTAGTACAAAGGAGCAGTTGTTCTCAAGGAGAACAGAAGACATTTAGGGGACGGCTTGTTATTATCTTTCAATATGTTTTACTCTAACTTATTTAGTCTCTTCTTGATCATTTCTTTACACTTGGCATCAGTTGATTATCAAATGTGTGAAGACTTATGTCTCATATCAATTCATATTTAGTTTTAAAGCTTATTATTTTTAATATTAAAATGTTGCAAACAAGGAGATGCATTATTTAAGCATATGACACACAAAAATCAGTCTTTTGATAAACAAATTATGTTAACCATGTTATAATAATAATTACTTATTTCAGGGTTTATTCTAGAGTGTGGCCTTGGAGGATTTCCATAAATTGGGAAAAAATGCCACATAAAATTTACTTAGCCGCGTCAAGTGAGGCACAAAAAAAAATAGGCCAAAGGATAAGTACTCTTTTTTGAAATAAAGTATTCGAAAACATCACTGGCAACAACACTGATTTGACGGTGGCTCTGTAAACTTACTTTGAACTTTTATAGCCTTTTACGGTCTCAATTGCATTTCGCTTCTTCGTTTGAGTCATTATTTCACCAGACAAACATCTGGGAATTTGCAGTAAGTCAAGCCCAGGTTTTTTTAGTTGCCCAGAATGTTCCAAAATGGCATCAAAGCATCTGGCGAGTCCATCTGTAAGTTTAATTACCTTTTGGGGGAACCCCTTTCTTGGACCCCCTTTCTTGAAAAAGGGCCCCCTAAAATTACAGAAGGAGGCCCATTTGAGCCTCATTGGCCAATTATTTCTAGAATAAACCCTGTTATTTGTATTTCATGAAATGGATTTACTTTGTGTAGTTCCAGAAAATATCCATACATTGTCTCTTTGCCATGAGAGGAAATTTTTTCTAAGCCCCCCCCCCCCCCCCCCCCCCC